ACTTAGTGAGAGTGATGTCGTCGAAGATGGCACATTTTTATTCTCATATGACGTACGGCATTTTGTGTTGGGGGCATTCTGCTCACGTTCGGGCGGGCATGGGTTTCGCGGAGTGTTGCAGGGCAAAGTTTATTGAATTTGAAATTCTGACTTTTCCTTGTGCGTACATTTTCAATTGTTTGCTGTTTATAAAGAATAACTTAAATGGTTACAGTAAAAATCGGGATTATCATTCTTATAATACTCGGAATAAAGGTGACCTTGTTTCAGATTTTACTCGAACGACAAGGGCTAGATATGGCGCAAAGTTTTACGGTTTAACATTATATAACGCTTTACCAGAACGAGTGAGAAATTTGGAAACACTGAAATTTAAAGTAGTATTAAAAAGGTATTTACTTGATAAGGCCTTTTACAGTGTGGATAAATTTCTAACTGGTGATTTTACTGAATTAATGTAACCATCTCGCCGTTTTCATTGTCATCCACCAATTCATATTTATCCACTGTTCGTTGTTTAGCTAGTGAAATAGCCGATTATAACATCATCGATTGTTTTTCCATTCGATTATTTCTTCATTCGATGATGAAAGTTGAAATAAAATTCTATCTAAAATATTTACGGTATTACTACTTTTTTGAAACTCGATGTATATACACGTGCACACCCCTACCCGAACTACGTTCGTCGTTCACTAGAGCACAAACTACTCGGCAGTATTGTTGTGTTGTTTTGCAACCAGGTCAAGTGTTTGTGTATTATTCTGTGTTTATTAAGATTTAACGATATGCCGCGACAAACTGCAAAGAGATCCTTCGTCTGGGATCATTTTGTAAGAAGAGGAGATGTTTCAATGTGTAGTGAATGTAAGCGAGAATTTAAATTCTTTGGCAATACTACAAATTTAAGGGAACACCTAAAACGAAAGCACCCAGCCTTATTATTACAAAAATCTAAACCTACTGAAGATACGTCATACGAAGAAATTCGAGGTACACTCCCGTCAACTTCTACAACTGAAACTTCCTCACAACATTCTATAATACACCCACCGCCTTCCAAATGTAAACGTCAACTTGCTCTTTACAAAAAAACACAAACATATAATATTTCAGAAAATGAGCAAACCGAAATATATCAAAGTTTAGTTGAAATAATAGTTTCTGATTTTCAGCCCTTATCCATTGTTGAAAATAAGGGGTTCATAAAATATACAAATAAACCTAATTCGCATTATGACTTACCAAGTCGAAAAAGAATTACAACTTCTCCGATACCAAATATATATACAGCGACGTTGAGTAAGGTTAAAAATGAGTTAAATTTGTCGCAAATTTGTCTGTAACTACAGATATATGGACATCATCATCTACGAAAGCATTTTTGGCAGTTACTGCTCATTATATAAGCGGAAGCCAATTGAACAGTTACCTACTGGAAACAAAACAATTTTTTAAGTTGGGATATCTTTGAAAAAGTTCACTGTATTGTAACAGATAACGCTTCAAATATGAGAAACGCTATTACTATTCATCTCAATAAGACTCACCAACTCTGCATAGCACATACGCTGAACCAATGTACCATGGACGCCCTCAAACAAGCAGATCTACAGCAATTGCTCGAGAAATGCAAAAATATTGTGGGGCACTTTAAAAAAAGCACTGTAGCACCTGGTGAACTGGCCAAAATGCAGAATCAAATGAAACTTCCTCTGCTAAAAGTGAAACAGGACGTTTCAACAAGATGGAATTCTTGCTTGGCGATGATGCAAAGATTAGAGGAATTAAAAGTTCCGTTGTCAGCAGCAATGTCCAATCTTCCCGGATCACCTTCACTTTTGTCATCGGAAGACTGGGCACTAATTAAAGACTGCATATGTATTTTAAAACCTATTGAAGCTATGACTTCCGAGTTGTCGGGAGAAAAATATATAACGTTGTCCATTATCATCCCCTTAATTCGTGGTGTCCAACACGCTGTTGAGAATGCACAACCAATAACTTCCACGGGAAAGATATTGCAAACTAATTTTCATGATATCCGTATTGAGGAGATTGGGTTATGTTGAATCTTCAAAAATTTGTGCAAACGCGACATTATTGGACCCCAGATTAAAGATATTGGCCTTCGATAAGGTAATAAATGGTAATCAAGTCCTTAAATGGATTACAGAAGAAGTAGAGGATTTGATTATGACTATCACTCAGCATCTAGAAACTCCAAATTCTGAAATATCTTGTACTCAGGGGCGTGCAAGTAAATTATTACTATTAACTCATTTTCGTTAACAGTTTTTTTTTGTTTGTTATTGCAACAGTTCGATAATAGAGTATATTTGAATATAAATGTTAGATTCCAGCGAGAACAACCAAGCTAGTTTACTTTAAAAGCATTTTGATATAAAGGTTAAGCAGGAATTCAGCTGGTCCACACCTACAAATTCTGGCGAAGCACAAGTGAAGCAGTACCTAGACCTACCATTGGTAGATAGAGAGCTAAAACTTTTAGACTTTTGGGACTCCAAGAAGGAGATCTTCCCGGAACTATATAAACTTGCAAATAAGTACCTCTGCGTGCCATCTAAGAGGGTATTCTCAAAAGCAAGCGAGTTAACAAAGGACAGAAGGAGTAGGTTACGCAACAATATGATCAACGAAATCATGTTTTTAAATAGTAATATGTAGTGCAATAAATACTTTCTTTGAAATATGTATTTTGACTGACCAACCTCTATATTATCATGGGGAATCAAATAATCATTCCTTTTTTTACTTCATATTAAACAACTAGTAATGAATACAAACATAAAACGTGGATTCTACTAATCATTTGAGGCTCTATTTAATTTAAATATTAAAATGAGACATTCAGAGAAGTCGGTAAATTCCCAAAACAGCCCTAAAGTAGCATGCCAGTCAATATTTTATATAGAATTTTATTTTAACTTTCAACATCGAATGAAAAAATAATCGAATGGAAAAATAATCGATTATTTTGTTTGATTATTTTGTTCGATTATTTTATTCGATTATTTTATTATAATCGATTATTTCATTCGATTATTTTACAATCTATTATCTTTTAGAATAATCGATATCTCGAATGATCGTGTATAATCGGTTAATCGACTATGGTCATTCGATTATGCCCATCACTAATCACAATGCATTCTCGATAGTTCTCTGGATCATTTTCTCCACACTTGAAACATTTAGCCGGGTTTCTTTGGCTTTAGTGCATATAAACAACATATAAAACAATTTTCTTGCAGAACGCGCTAATAAATCAGCAATTTATTGTTTCAAGTTCATTGTCCTATATTTTAGTTCTAGTTCTGCCTTCTTCTTTGTCACGTACTGTTTCAATCGTAATTTTCTAAAGTCATGTCTAAATTCTTGATCTAACACGACCTGAAGTTTTTATTGTAGCTTAATGGTGAGGAGATAATGGTAGAGTAAACAATTTGGACGCTGGATTTCTGAATGTGGGAGGAGAAGTTTAATCTTGGGTATCGGATGTCACCTAAGTATTTGAAGTCGATTTTGCCACCATTATACCAGTGTCTTATTCAGGTTTGAATATTAAACAAAAACTTGTTATACTCGAACTGCTTTTAGTATTATAATTAATAACTCTGACTAGTTTCGTCTACATCGGAACCTAGGAGAGCTAACTCACTAAAATTTTTTACTTCCAAATACAATTTCATAATTGGTTGGGTTATGTTTTAAAAAATTTGTTTTGGATATTAATGTTCTTTTCATTCTTTTTTAGCTTGCGATACATTTTTTGTAATTTTACTTCTTCATTTATACATCGACGTTAATGTTCTACGTGATCTCTTTGCAACAAATGTAGCTCGTTCTTTAAAAAATATTGATTTACCCAAAGATTACAGCTTATTGTACGACAAATTAAATCCGGAATTGGAAAATAGAATTAATCTTGATATGAAAGAATTAACAAAGTCGTTACAAAGATTATTAAGGTAAATTATATATCTAATTTTATTTCACAGCTTATATTTTTCTTGATTTTGGCAGAATTTCAAGCGACATTGAAAGTATTTTTCAACACATCGCTTTTGTACAAGTTATATTTTCCCTATTTAATTTGATGTGTTGCCTATTTATGACAACAAATGTAAGTTTTTAAATTCTCGCTTTATCTTTTAGATTATAATTTAGTTATTAATTATTGTAATATTTTAGCTTGAAGCTTATAGCGCGGCGTTTTTCGTTCAACTCCAAGTTTATTTTGCTTTGGCGACCCAACTCTCGATTTACTGCATTTTTGCTCAAAATACATCTATGGCTGTAAATATCAAAATGATTAACTTAAACTGATACAAGATTGAGACACTTTGTTATTTAGTTTTCAGAGATACCGTTTGCTATTTACCAAAATGAATGGTTTTCGGTGAGTAAATCATTGAAAAGTATGATGATTATAAATATATTACGAATGAACAATCCAGTTGTTTTCACCGCTTCGAAATTTGTTGAATTATCTTTACCACTTTTAGTTAAGGTAAGTTATTTTACTTACTTAAAGATTATACTAAATTAAACTTACGTTTTCCAGATTTTGCGAATGTCGTATTCTTTTTATACAGTATTAAGAAAATAATTGTTAAAAGCACTGTGGTTTTAATGCTTAAAAATAATTTATGTAGACAAACACATTTAGAACACAACAGAATACGAAGAAAATAGGTTTCATTCCACAACTTTACTTAGCTGTAGCATCTTAGCTTACAAAATAAATGTTCTAAAACACATGTTAACGGTTTCGACATCCGGCGCCATCTACATATATTACTAGCTATAACAAGTCAAACCAACCGGAGCCACGTGGGCAGTTGGGTTTTAATGATAGACGAGTTGTAACGTGTCGTGCGGCGCAGCGATGTTTTTACCGTTTTACCACGTATTGTATTTTGGCTATGATGGCTTCCATGCTCATCGTTGAGAGTGATGAAAAATCAAAAATCAGGTTAACGATGATATAATTTTATTATTCGCAATTGGTGCTACAATGTTTCGACAGCTTAGCTGTCTTCTTCAGGCACGACTAAAAACGTAAAGAGAAGGTGAAGAACATCAAAATTAAAACAAAAGACAAGAAAATAACTACCGTCAGATATGTGAGGACCTTGTGAGATTTATAATGTTGAAACGATTTACTTAAAGTCACACAGTCAAAAAACATCAAAATATTGAACAAGTACTAGGTTATGTTTAAAAAAGAGGATGGTCACAAAATTTATAACGGGGTCTCATCCTCGAGATAACGTTGTTTCTTCAACTCAACTTCAACTCTATCAAATCAAGGTCTTAAATAGAGACAAAAAACAAAAATTGAAAGGAATATACATCAAAATAGTATCACAAACTTACAATTATTAACGAGAATTCGAACGTAAAAGGACGCCGTCATTCGTTGTAAAGATGACCGCGTGGAAAAACCGGTTGTATTTCCAAATTAAATATTATTATTTTTCGAGAGTAAACGCTACGTCGGCGAATGTAGACTAAAAAATTTTTATTAAATTAAAACAATGTAGATGTTGTAACACAATTAAACGCTTAAAACTTACAGTTAACAGAACTTGTTTTTCAGGTTAGGTTGAGTAAAGTGACGTCTTCAGTCTGTAGCAGCAGCGGATCGAGAAGGAAATGGTCTGGTGTTCGGTATGCAAATATGTGTCTTAGGGTGGCGCAAGCGCAAGGTATAGGTCGAGGCAGGCAACAGTCAAGCGGGAGAAGGATGGGCGATTTAACAACTTAGATCTCGACATTTACATAAACTTCAAGAAGCATCTCTGTGGGTTGACATCTATGACATCGTTCATTATTAGATGTCACATATCTGACGGTAATTATTTTCTTGTCTTTTGTTTTGATTTTGATGTTCTTCACCTTCTCTTTACGTTTTTAGTCGTGCCTGAAGAAGACAGCTAAGCTGTCGAAACATTGTAGCACCAATTGCGAATAATAAAATTATATCATCGTTAACCTGATTTTTGATTTTTCATCACGTATTGTATTGACAGTATTATAGATGGTTCATTAAATGTTTTAAATGAAACGTAAATGACTTTTATATCTTAAAAACCTAACAGTGCAGCGGTGCGATAGCTCAAATTAGTGCGGAAAAAACGATTAAAACAGAACGTTTACGGGAGATGACTGATAAACGAAGTTCGATAGACGAAACGGATGAAAACGTAAAAATGGACTTATTAAAAAATATACTAAAAAATATACTAGAAAAACTTCTTTAACTTGCTTTTATTTAAGAGGCCTACCTAGCTGGCTAAAAATTCGAAACGAGATTCGCTCGTGAACACGCCTAATGCGGCAACACCGCTCCATGTGTACTCGATCGGGATGGCCGGGCTGGCGCGCCAGGCCGATGGCGACTAGGACTGTTCGATTGTTCGACAATCAGCGACGTTGATTTTATTCTTAGTTGAATGCATATGAATACGAGTCGGGGCCGCTTTTTGGAACATAGCTATTATTACTAGTATTTCATTATTATCGATTGTTGGTTAAAATTATATATTTTCTCGAAAAGGGATGTTGGTGGATGCCGATCTTATCAGTTCCTCATTATAAAATTGCACAGTATACCAAATTTTATCTGTATATGACAAATCATTGAAATTATTGAAGGTAATCTATACCTTAGCCATTTATTGATTTATACAGGGTGATTTATCAGCTCACCATCAAACTTTGTCATATGATAGCTAATCCAATTACAAAAAAAAATGTTAATGAACATATGTCCTATTTTAATTAATTACGAAATTATAACACTTTAAAGTTTTCATTTTTATATCATAATTAACTGCTACATTATTTTTAAAACACATAAATATTACAAATATTGTTCAAAATAGACTCCTTCTGAAGAAGGAATACATGCTTCACAATGACGAATTAAAGAGTTCTTCAGCCGAATTAAAATGTCTGGTTGATTTCTTGTTCCAGTAGCAGCCATTTGTATTCTGTTTAATNATTATTTAATGCTGGAAGTAATTGATTTTTCACCCATTCCATAAAAATAATTGACGTCATATTTTTATGATAATCTCTGTGCTCCGTGTTGTCACTGAGCAAGAGATCGCAATTTGGCAAAAACCCTGACGAAGTGCCTGCGTGCAAGATTGTAAATCTTTTTCCTTCGCCTTCTGCTCTTTGCGGAATACCGAATCTTTCATTTTCATTTACCCATTGATAAACTTGGGTGCCATTTTCGTAAATCCAAGTTTCGTCAAGAAAAACAAAAGTATACTCTCCGGATTCTAGGTATTGCAAGTATGTCTTTAAAAATGTAATTCTTTTTGAAACTATATGTGGTTGTTCAATTAACACTTTTCTATTGCTAATCTTTTTATATCTATATCCCATAGATTTTATAATTTTATGTAATTTTGATCTACCATTAGTAAAATCACATTCATTTCTTGCAAAATTAAGTAAATCATTAAGATTAAAATACTGTTTCTTTTCATGCAATTTTTGTATTTGTCTTCCTAACTCTTCTTTAATAAAATATAAATTATTATCCGTTTTGTAGTTCATTTTACAACGCCCTTGTGTTTTTGGTTTTTTTACAGTTTGATATTTTTTGTAGGTTTGAATAATTTTAAAAACCGTCGTGCTGTGAACCTAATACAATTATGTTGAATATAAATTTAATTTTAAAACTCAAGTGCAATACACATACATCAAAAATACGTGAAGCTTTATCACATATATATTTTAAATTCGTATTTGGTGTCTCCGTCTGTACTTCTTCACAATACCTAATTATAGAGTTTTTTTCGCGTTTAGACAGTTGACATCCCGTTCCACCCTTTCTTAACATTTTTATGGTAGATTTAGCAGCAAAAAAATTATATGAAAATTGTTTTTTAATCAATCTTAACAAATTTGATAGACAGTGGTGGCACACAATTAAAGTAAAAGTCACGACATGCGCTTTTACTTTCAATACCAACTTGACGACACTTTGACAATTGATTTAAATAAAAAACAGATTATATAAGCGTAGATTTTGAGTTTCTTCTTGTATGTAATAATTAAAGCTTACAGCAAACTGACATATTACAATGACAAGTTTGTTTTTGTTGAATGTTTGATTTTACTGATTATTAATAAATTCGCTGCAGAAAACTTTAAAGTGTTATAATTTCGTAAATAATTGAAATAAGACATATGTTCTTTGATAATTGGATTAGCTATCATATGTCAAAGTTTAATGGTGAGCTAATAAATCACCCTGTATTTAAAGATTAAAAATGTTTACACTAGTTGTCATAATTTTTGCTCTAGCAGTATATGTGGTTGAAATTATGCCATCACTTACAGAACCACCATATATTTTTATACAGGGTGCCCATTATTTATGGAATATAGTATATATCTCGGTAAATGTTGACTTTATAAAAAAACATTTTATACAAAAGTTGTTTAATATTTTATTTGCCATAATAGGACAACATTCAATTGTTTATATTTCAGAAAACAAATGAGCAACGAATAGCACTTGAATTTTTTTAAATGGCAATGTACCCTTTTGTTAGGCTCATTTGATAGAGATTGTTTTTCTCTTTACGATGATGTAAAATTTTAGTATCCTTATATCAGAAAATTTTTGAAAAAATGCAAAAATTGTTTATTTAAAAAATTTTGAGTTTTTTATGAGTTATATATTTTTTATTATTTATGTTGAATTACTTATTTTAAAATATACCTTTGGTGATATTCTTTACATTTTTATTTTGTATTTATTTTAATAACTAATCTAATAGTAAATGATCAGATAATTATGCAAAGATTCTCATTATTAAAAATTTATTGCCACGCTTAAACATTGTTTTGCATTCTACGTAAATTAAATGTTTAAATTTAAATTAGTGATATAAACATTTTTTGATCTATCCGAAAATATTAATCGCTT